AATGGAGAATGCTGATTTTGCTTTCTCCAAAAATCTACATAAACGGAAGAAACGGAGATAGAAAACAAAATTGGAGAAAGAAATTTAATAAACAACTTCTCCATTTTTCATTTTTCTACTTCTCAATTTCTCTAAATTTTTGGAAAATCCTCCATTTTTCCAAGTTGGTAAACGACCCCACCTTTGAGGTTTCCTACCGTTACTTTTCCAATCATTTTTACTTTAATTAATTACACCCCCAACTTTCAACAATTTTAATATCATTTTGATCCTCGATAATATCGTAATATTAAAATTTTCACCTTTTTTTCTTTTTGATAAAAATGAGAGAAACCTTCGAAAAACCATGATTACCCATAACAAAAAACACTTGATTTGAACAATAAATGTCTAGCTAATTATTCTAGAAGGATTTGATTTAAAAGTAACGAAGGAATCTCAAGAACTCACGACTATCAAGAATGCAAGATGGAGGACTTTAGTCAAAGATTTTGTTGCCTTGTGCTTCCCAACTAATAATTTAAATACATTTAATTTTTTTGACTTTTAAAATTGAACAAATTAGTTTTAAATATTACGGAATAGTTCACACGTCATAAAACGGTGGAATTATATGAATTCCCTAAAATATTACTCCGTAGTAACGTATTTTAAACATGAAAAATTAAAATGATTTGATCCAAACAAGCAAACAATTAAATTTGATCAAATAAATAGTGGAGTACATAAAGTACAAATATCGTAGTGTACTTAATTTACACAAATTTGGTATTATGTTGACCGTTTAATGTATGTTGCTAATGACATTCAATATTTGATGAAAACACGTAAAATTTATAAATTATTTCAAATTTTTGTTATTTTTAATATTTGGAGAATATGTTAAAAGTATTTGTATTTGGATTTTTTTTTGTCGGATTATAAGATCTTCAGCCATGGTACACTACGGATCCCACACATTAAGAATAATCATGTTTGTGCAGAGTATACTAAAACCCCACACATTGATACTAATCATGTTCGTGCGGGATATCAGGTACCAAAGCAAAGAAGAAATCTACACCATCTCATCCATACCGGCCTCATGAGTTTGTACTTGGATAGTTGGATGTGAAGTATGAAAATGTATTTTAATTATGTTTAAATTAGTTAACTTAATGCATTGGTTTACATATATAGCTTTATTAAAATTTAAAATAGTATAAAAAAGGGCTTGAATCACATACAACTATGACTAAAATGGAAGATTTTTACATAATGGTGAATAAAATATGCTCAATGAAAAAACCCAAGAAATGGGATTGTGTGAAACTTGCATTGATGTTGTGCGGGTCTATACTCATTTGTAATAATTAATAAATTATAATCATATTTTACTCACTTGGTCACCATTCTCAACATTGTAATATACTATTCACAAATGCATGTGACATAATTTATTAACCAATAGAAGAGTGACATGTCAACTCTTAATTAAAAACTTTTCTTTATGATATATAGTGTGGTATAAATTTTCACATCCAATCATAGTGCGACTGTACTAAAATATTTCTTACGTTTCCTATTAGGGTGGGCACTATTAGACAAAAACCAAATAGTTCAACTTTGGTTTATTATTAAAAATTAATCACTTTGATATTCTATAATTAAAATGATTTCGGTTTGGTTCAGTTAAAAATCGAATCGAACTAAAAAATCTATAGCGGATTTTTGGATAAATTCGCATCCAATCCGATAAAGGTGGATTTATAAAAATAAAAATAAAAAAATTATCATCTGCATCCACATCTGCTAGGGGTATATATCTAATCTAATCTAATCCAATCCGCTAATGACAGTTTGGTAGATTGGGTGCGGATAGGATGACGAATTTTATGTTTACAAAATAAAATAAATAAGTTTGGCTCTTGAAGACCGATAAGTTTGGTGATAGAAGAGAGTTATTGTTAACCACAACTAGTTAGATTGTCCAACAAAAAAAAAAAAAAAAAAAACTAGTTAGATTGTTTTGTTTTGTTCTTCCTTCATTTTCAATTATTCATTCATACTCAGTGCAATGTTGACGTTGTGATTATGCAGCCGTAAAGAAGAACAAACTAGACTTGAAGAATGAAGAAGGTGGAAAGTCAAAAACAATAATTGAGAAAGAGGAAACCTAAAACCTATGCTAAATTTAGAAAAGTTAAATTAAAATTGAATTATAGGTTTAGATTTGGACTACACCCTTCGTAGGAAACTCACCAATGAGCTACTAGGCTTGTGTGTGTGTCTATATATATATATATATATATATATATATATATATAGACAAGAGATTAGGTGCGAAACTTCTCCTATGTAAACATGCAGATTAATCATAGCCATTTATCTTGCCAAAATCAATAGCTCAGAATGAAGATAAAAAAACGCGGTGACATTATGATAATTTTGCGTATTGTTGAAAGCTTAAGGTGCGTAATTGTAAAACTTAATTTTTAGTGTTAGGTGCCTAAGTTTAAATATTGAGATGCTTAAGTTTAAAGCGCGCGTAAGGTGCGTAAGTTTATAACTTAATGTACGTAAGTTTGTAGTTTAAGGTGCGTCAGTTTGAACCTTAAGGTGCATCAGTTAACACTTAAGATGCATCAGTTTGACACTTACGGTGCGTCAGTTCTACACTTAAGGTGCGTCAGTTCTATACTTAAGCGCATAAGTTCTACACTTAAACACGTCATTTTAATACTTAAGGTGAGTCATTTTAATACTTAAGGTGAGTCATTTTAACACTTAAAGTGCGTCATTTTAACACTTAAGGTGCATCATTTTGACACTTAAGGTGCGTAATTTAACAGTTAAGGTGCGTCATTTTAACACTTAATGTGCCACAATTCAACACTTAAGGTGCGCTAGTTTGACACTTAAGGTGCATCAGTTTGACACTTTAAGGTGCATCAATTTGACACTTAAGGTGCATCAGTTTGAAACTTAAGTGTATCAGTTCAACAATAGTAGGAGGATAATGCATCCAATTCCTAGGAAGCGCGTTTACAAAAAAAAAAAAAAATTGATTTTAGTCGTTGATATAATCTAGATCAACGACTCAGATCTCACCCATCTTTCACATGAGAGACTCTTCACACGTGAACCATCTCATATATATATATATATATATATATATATATATATATATATATATATATATATATATATATATATATATATATATATATATAGAAGAGATCGGGTGCATTTAAGGCTTCTCGTGCGGTTGTGCGGTTGGAAGCACATTAAGCATTACACTGACGCACTTTACGTACACAACAACACACGCACATTAAACACACAAACAAAATACATTCAGAAAACAAACTCACGCACATTAAGCACAAAAGTCAGACATCTTAAGCACAACCCTCACGCACCTTAAGCACAACCCTCACGCACGTTAAGCACAAAAACACAAGCACCTTAAGTTTTAACAACTCACATTAAATACACACTCACGCACATTAAGTGCAAAACTCACACACCTTAAGCACAAGATTCACGCACCTTAAGCACAAAACTCACGCACATTAAGCACAAAACTCATGCACTTTAAAGTTTCAACAACAACTCACATTAAGTACAAAACTCACGCACCTTAGGCACAAGACTCACACACCTTAAGTACAAAACTCACGCACATTAAGGGGGTGTTTGGTTAACATGAATTGTGTTGGAATTGAATTGCAATTCAATGAAATGATAACCTACATTGTTTGGTTGGAGGGAATTGCAATTCCCTCAATTCATTGAATTGCAATTCATAGGTCCCCCCCTATGAATTGCAATTCAATGAATTCATCTAAAGGGGAAGGGAAGTTAAAGACATATTTGTCCTTGAATGTTATTATTAAAATTATTACACAAAGGATATTTTAGTCTTTATATCACTTCTCCCATTTTCATTATTCTTCACTACCAAACAATGTAATTGTAATTCATACTTTATTCCCACCTTATTCTTTTCCCACCGAATTACAATTCCTTTCCCCCTTAATTCCTTCATTCCAACCAAACGCTTATAAGTACAAATCTCAGGCAATTGAGCACAAGACTCACGCACATGCATTAATCAACCGCACAACCACACGGGAAACGTTCAACCGCACTGGAACCTTTCACTATATATATATATATGTGTGTGTGTGTGTGTGTGTGTGTGTATCGGATCGGATCGGATATAGTGAATTTTGTAAAATCACATTTGATCTGTATCCAATAATCTACTAGTAGTAGATTTTCACTAAATGAATCCGCATCCCATCCACTTTAAGTGGATGCAGTAGTTGGGATGTGTCAGATTTATTTGGTGGATTCTTACTCATCATCTACCAATTCGAGTTTTAAAAACGAAATAAAATTCGAGCCAAAATCGATATCTTTCAAACATAACCAAACTTTAACCGATCTTAAATGTGAAACCGAATAGTTTCCTTTTTTTTTTTCTTTTCAAAATTGGGAGAAAAAAAACAAACATGAAAAATAAAAACCAAACTCAAAAAAATCATAACGAAAACCAAAACGCCAACCAATACCGCGATACTTCCTTGCCCAAAACAACTGGCTCAGTAAGAAAATATTTTTTCTTTATTCGATATAACTATACTTTAAGTTAAATTATGCGTAATGGCTTACGTCAGTATTCTTGTATACCACGTCTAAAATTTCATACAGAGTCGATGAATTAAAAGTTTACTGTTTTGGTATTTTTATATGATAAATAATTAGTAAATAAATTATTTAATACTATGTTTTAAGAAGTTGACTAAATCTTATAATATTTAACAATAATTAGTTTATTCCCAATATCCCAAATCATTTGGTGTTAGATTGCACAGATTAGAGGCAAGTGCAATCAAGAGCCAATAAAACTGCTTAGGAAGCTGCCAAAATAGGAAAAAGTTAAATCTTGAAACCTATAAATCCACGAAATTAAACGTCGTACGCAGCAGTATAGAAACCTCGTCCGTCAGGTCCCTTGTTCTTCGGTTCTTGGCAGGGAATAGGTATGACGAAGGAAACATTAAGGAAGTGTTCCCATTGCGGACACAACGGCCATAACTCCAGAACATGCAAAGGTTGTAACAGCATAAAGCTGTTCGGCGTGAAAATCAACGTCGTTTCCGGAGACGAAAGCCACCATGATCCCATCCGGAGATGCAAGAGTATGGGCAGCCTGCAACAGGCCCTCAAGTCCGCTAACAACAATGGCGATCACGGCGGCGGCGGCGGCGACGCCGGGTATCTTTCCGATGATTCCAACCGGACCAGAAAAAAGGGTTTGCCCAGATCTATCCCTTTATTCCTTCTTTTTGGCATTAAATATCACTCTAATAATGCATATCATGCTTTTAGATTCTGGCGTTGTTTTGAGTGGGGTCTACTAATGATTCGGGTTTGTGATTTGATTTGTGTTTTGTTGTACCTAGGAATTAAAGACAATTATTTTTGTTTTGAAATAGGAACATCATGGACTGAGGATGAGCATAGGTCATTCTTGATTGGGCTGGAGAAGCTTGGGAAAGGTGATTGGAGAGGGATTTCAAGAACCTATGTGCCTTCAAGGACACCAACCCAGGTGGCTAGCCATGCCCAGAAGTATTTCATCAGGATTTCCTCCAATGACAAGAAAAAGCGGAGGACGAGTGTGTTCGACGTGGGTTTGAATGATACGGTACGTAATTATTCGTTATTCTCTAAAATTGAAAGACGTGTTCTGTTGTCACATTGTTTGATAAGTTTTTTTTTTTTTTTTTTTTTGTGGTGCGTGTATATATACAGAACCAGAACCAGGCTCCACCTCCATCATCTCCTGATAAGGCTCCTCTCGAAATCCCAAAACAGGTATGTGAGAAAGACGGTACCGGCCAGACAAGACTTACTCTTATGTATTTACTTGGCTTGAAATAATGGCTTATGTTATCCTACAGGCTAGTGTCTCTCCATCTGCTCCAACTGTTACCAAAGATGAATCTAAAGGAAAGGTATGCTATAAGTTTTGTATATACACTACAAGAAAAATACACAAAGATAACTCCAGCAGTTTTTGACAAAAGTGTTATCTTTTGTTTAAAAGACAACAATTTTGTGTTGTCTTATAGAGCATTTTCACGTCTTTTTCTCGTTTCTAGCTTGATACCATTGTTTTTTGTGTCATATGAAAGGCCATTGAAACAGCTTCTGAAAAGCTTATTCCCATTGCTCCTCCAGTGGATAAAGCTTTCCCTGTTCTGAACTTAGGGCAAGAAAGGCCTCCAATTTCACAAAACACAACCTGCGAGAAGCCTCCCATTTCACCAGTGTCACCTCTGGTGGCTCCTAGCTTCAATTGCATACCATACATGGTATATATAAAAAAAAAAAAAAAACAAAAAAAAAAACAAAAACGGTTCATATGTTACAATTCTCGTCATGTAAAGTTTATTTAAATTAAACGCTTAATCTCACTATCAGTTTGACCGTTTTCTTGTGAACAGAACATGCCAGCAGCGACCCGAATGATGCCCGTGGTGTCTTGGGCACCAGTTGTGACTTATGCGAATCAAAGCTATGGGTATCTTGGCAACTCCCATGGGAACTATGCTGCTGTTCCTCCTCCGGCTACTGCTTGTGTGCAATATGTGTCGTCACCTCAGCATGGCTGCAGTCCACTGCTGCCTCGGGAAGTGCGTCTTGGCGATCCTCTAGGTGGTCCGGTGGCGGCACCCGCCACCAGAAAGGATGGTTTGGACCTCAACATGGGAGCACTTAAGTTGTGATAGTAGTTATTCTAATCCTTTCTGTTTTTCCCTACTGCAAATAGGATTATTGAAGAGCAATATAATGGGGGTTGTAGGTCTTTCATTGCCCTATACATGTGTTAGACACAATGACCCAACATTTCTTTGTAATTGTTGGCAACTCAATCTTTGCTTTTGTTGCTTGTACCATCATCAGGTGAAAAGATTCATTTGTAATGAATACAGTAGTACTCCTCTATATAGACAAAAATGTTGGAGATTTATATGATTTTTTATTTTTGATGGGTTATTTTTAAATAAATATTATAAACATAAATGTTGGGGATATATAGACCAGTTGGGCTTCATCCTGTCATACACAATGAGAATAATCTTGCCATTTATCACTATCGATCAACACCTTTTAACTTCAAAGTCGTGAAAATCACCACTACCACCAAACTTCATCTTCATTGTAAGATTTTCTTGCCAAACTAATTAACAAGTCCACAATTCAATCATTATCTTTCAATGTTACCACCATTTGAAAACCACCCCTTGCTATTCAACCCCAATGTACTTTATTGTTACAACAATCATTTAATTTGTTGAACAACATAACAAACCCGGTCACTCCGTTGAATCCATCATTTAATCCACTCCAAACTCTAGCCATTAGCCAATATAGTAAAAATCAACTAGGTATTCATCGGGCGATTGTTGGACGCTTACCACCTAGACGCCAACTAAGCAATCACCTAGCACCTAACTTGAAAATAAAATTAGTGTTTGGAGAGGGGCAAGACAAAACCCTAATGTAAAATGAAACAAAGGCCGCCCAAAATGAAAAGTAGAAAGGTAAAAACCCAAGCCCTTAGGGTTTAAACTTTTAATTTCAATTGAAAAGTAGAAATGTAAACTTTTAATTTCAATATCGTTTGACTGATGCTTGTCAATCGACTAGCCAACATAATTAATGTAGAAAAGGGGTGAGAAGGTGACTCTGTGACTGCCGGTCATGTAAAATATCGCCTTAGGAGTGCCTAGCGCCTACAAATTTCATCCCAATGACACCCACATCACGGTGACTCAGTAGACATTGCCAAATGTCAGTGCGCACAAGGGATCTGTCCACTTTAGATATAATCTCCACACTATCACCACCGAGATAGTCTCTTCTTTCAAATACTGCATACTAAACCATTGAACTAACCCCGTGCCTGCTTTATCTTTTGTTCTTTGCAGTATTTCATACACTCATTTTCCTTTATCTAGTTCAATAATTACCATAATTATACATTCTAACCAATAACTTAGGCCTACAAAGTTAAGTCCATTAATGGAGATTGGGCTTTTAAATGTGTGGTCCAAAGAGTTCTCTAAGAAATGGAATCAATTTCGTCCAGAGAGCCGATCGGCCCTGTCGGTCGTCAATGCATATAAATGTTTTGTTACCCAAAATTTCGATGAACTCTTTTATTCTTCCAATCTACTTTCACGACCTCTTTCGTAACACAGTTTCGACGACGATCAAGATTCCGACAACGATCTCCGGCTGTCGGGAGCGTTTCATTCCGGCGCCTTCACTGTTGGATCAGCAGACTTCATCATGAATCCCGAATAGTAATCTCCTGATCTCAGTTTCCTTCGCAAATTTTGTAGAATCTAGGGTTCGTATAGCATTTGCTCTATAATTTTAGCTTGGTTCTGCCTGATCTGATATCGGTTTCACGACCAACGGTAAGAATATCAGTTTTTTGAAGATTTAATTGAATATTGTGATGGAAATTCTTCAGATTCTCGAAGTCTATTGATCAATGTGTAATTATTTAATAATTTTATCAAATTGCGGATTATTCGTCTTGAGATTTATAATTTTTTATATTTCCTGATAAAAATGAGATGTGAAAGTGAAATTGGAACTCATTGTTTTTGCCCATATGTGGAGAAGTAAGGTTTTTGTTCATAATATTGTTGCTTACGCCCTTATTATCATTATTAGATTTGGAAGCACAATGCTCTTTACCAGCTGAAAAGGAGTTCAATGCTCATTGCAATTTATTATCTTGTGCAGTGACTACTTGTTCAAGCTTTTGCTTATAGGAGATTCAGGTGTTGGAAAGTCATGCCTGCTTCTGAGGTTTGCTGTAAGTGAGAGCAGTCTTAATTTCATTTTTGCTATGAAATATAGGACTGCATAGGTGAAATTTTGTTGTTGGTATAATGCATGCAAGAGAAATGGACTGATACTGATTCGTTCGGTGTAAAAAAATCAGCAACAACCATTGGAAATTGAGTGTGAAACATCGAAAGGCCAAACAACTACTCTCCATAGTGTGGAATTGTTTCAAATCCTTTCCACTGCATTCTAGAGGCATGCAAGTGACCTCTTGTCATCTTCACTTGCAATATAGAGGAATATGTGTGAATCCAAATATGTTTTGTTTGTTCTTCTCCTCTTCTTAATATTATTATTTGACTAGTTCTTTTAATTTTTCTTGCAGGATGATTCATATTTGGACAGTTACATTAGCACAATTGGTGTTGACTTTGTAAGATTGTACTCAAGGGCTCAATTTGTAATGTAGCAGGATCACTAGCCTAATTATGTTCCAACTTCTACTTTGCAGAAAATTCGCACTGTGGACCAAGATGGGAAGACAATTAAACTTCAAATTGTATGAGTTTTCCAGTCTTTGCTTTTAAATTTTAACGGGTTAGGATAGCTTCTGTATTAGATAATTATTTTCTATGTTTCACTGCTACTACTGATATTGAGCTGTGAATCTTTCCACATGTTGGGTCTCATCTGCGGCACATTTGTGTCACTTTTCAATGTTAAAATACTTGAATGCCTTTGGCAATGTATTTTTGATGTGGCTATTCTTCTCTTCCTTCTATAATTGGCAGTGGGACACTGCTGGGCAAGAACGCTTCCGGACAATTACCAGTAGTTACTACCGAGGAGCACATGGCATTATAGTATGCTTCTTCTGACTTAATTTTAGGGCAACCATTTTTTTTTTTACCTGCCTTGACAACCTTTCTAAACCATTTGGATGGTAATTTTTGGCAGATAGTTTATGACATAACTGATCAAGAAAGCTTCAATAATGTTAAGCAATGGTTGAATGAAATTGATCGCTATGCAAGTGAAAATGTGAACAAGCTTCTGGTTGGAAATAAGTCTGATCTGACAGACAACCGGGCTGTGTCCTATGATACTGCTAAGGTAATTTTTATTATTTTACTTCATTCCTTTTTTTTTAACCTGTTATACTACTTGTCAATGTTCTCCTTAGCAAAAAATGCATTGTGGTTGGTTCTCATAGGCCTTTGCTGATGAAATTGGCATTCCATTCATGGAGACCAGTGCAAAGAATGCCAGTAATGTTGAACAAGCTTTCATGGCAATGTCAGCTGATATAAAGAAGAGGTATGAGAATGTGCCTTCACTTTTGATACTATTTAACTCCAATGTTTGTATTATCACTAAAGCTACCTAGTATCTTAGGTAAAAATAGTTTTACCAAGAACAAGTGTGCAGTGTGTCAGTTCACTCTTTATAAGTTTCTTCCTCGTTTTGGATGACAATTCTCTGCTCCTTTTGCAGGATGGCAAGCCAACCAGCGGGGAGCAATGCCAAGCCACCAACAGTGCAGATTCGAGGACAGCCCGTTAACCAGAAGGGTGGCTGCTGCTCTTCTTAGGCATTATGCTAGGCCCTGCATAGACTATACTGGGTTTAGAGCCTTCTCAAATTACAGAGTGCAAATTATACAGGGTGGGGTTTACTTTAAGGATGATGTTGCATCAGAAGGAAGTCATTATTAGACTTTTACTTAGTAGCTTATTAACTTTTGTTGTTAGTGATTTGAATGCTTGGATAATCGAAGAACCAAAAAGCCTAAAGCATTGTGAAGAATTGCAACTTGCTCTTGTTTATCAATATAATGATTGGCATACAATAGATTCCTACCAATTCACCTTGGTTGCAATGTGTTCATGTTTTTGGAATTAATATGTTTGAATTTGCTACAAATCTAATGTGGTTTGCTACACTTCATGATGTCAGGTCTCGTTAACCGAATAAGATACATAAGGTCTCGTTAACTGAATCAGATACAGATTAGATACATAATTTTTTTGTCTGCACTTCTTACCTAGATATTCAACAACCCCTAACCAACAGGGCAGTTGGACTCCCCTACCAATTCAAGTGAGCATTGATCCCATATGGTTTGGTTAGGTAATCTAACATAAACTATTTCCAAAACATCTCTTCCATATATATATCCTCATCATCCCTAATCTTTCATGTCAGGCAGTTGAGTTTCCAGACATGGAAAAGCTGCTTCATATCCTTGCAACTGCTCTAATGATTCTAAACCTAGGACTGTCATGTTCAGCAAGAACTTATATTGTTGGTGACAGTTCTGGCTGGGACATTAGCACTGATCTTGATTCCTGGTCATTCGGCAAACGATTCCTAGTGGGCGATGTTCTATGTAAGTGCCGTATCTTATAATAATGATTGTAACAAGTACTATTAGCACTGTCGCTGACCAGATCCATTGAAGTCCCATGATATTCATTAATTTATATTTTTTGGGTTTTTTTTTTCAGGGTTTCAATATTCTTCATACCACAATGTAGTTGAGGTGGCAAAAGAGGATTTTGATGGGTGCACCACAAGCAATGTACTGAGTTCAAACAGTACTGGGAACACAACATTTCCATTGACACGACCAGGTCAAAGGTTGTTTCTTTCTGGGAATAGGATGTATTGTCTTGGAGGGATGAAGCTTCAGGTGAATGTAGAAAGCAATCAGACAATGGCACCTGCCCCAGCGCCTCAGGCAGGCGGCGGTGACGGCGGATCCGCCGCCGCTCTTTTGCCACCTTCTTCCAAGAGTAATAACCCCTCTGCTATTGTCCCTGGTTCAAGTAACCATGTTAAAGTGGACTTATTAATGACAGCACTACTAGGAATCCTGGGGTTAATGGGAACTGTACTTGGGATGTTATAATCTCAAATTTCTTTTCTTTTTGAGACTTTGAAGTTGTAAAAGTGATTTAACTTTATGATATATATATATATATATATATATATATATATATATATATATATATATATATATATATATAAACTCTTTTTGATGATATTTTCATGATTCATATAATATAATTTTTTTAAAAATAATTTATTATATAATTATAGTACCTTAAGAGTTGTCAGAAAATAATAATCCCGAAGCTAGTTTCCTTTAATTTTAAATATTAATGTCAAGTCATAAAAAAAGGTGTTATTTTATTTCCTTTTTAGTATATTTTAGTACCACTCTTTTCGGGGCCACAATCGAATTGTTATTACTTGGTAAGTTAAAATACTATTTTAATCACCGATTTTTTGGTATGTTTTCAATTTTTTTTTTAAAATTTTAAATGATACCCAAAATTTTTCTGAACTATATAATCAAAACCAAGTCGAAAATTGAAAATTTCAGATGATTCAATTATTGATAAGTGATTTTGTGTCAATCTTATTATTATTTTTTTTTTTTTTAAAAATAGATGTATATGTGTGTGTGTATCCACTTATTATGATAGGTGGCACCAGTTGCCAATCAAGAAAGCAAAGAATCCACTTATAACAAATTAACAACTAAGTTGGTGGTTAATTTTGGTTAAGTTTTGATGGCATATATTCTGGATTTACAAACAACCATGCATTATATTGGTTGGTTAGATTAGAAGGACAATAGCTGTATTTTCAGTTTTCAAGGTTTCATGATGATGATTTAGGATAAGCCGAAAGCTAAACACTTCTTCCAACTCTATTGTCAAATGATGAATGCTATTATATTCTCAATCTCCTAGACTTGTCTTTTCTTCACAGTTGACACATGACATCATAATCCACTATGTTAAAATTCTTGATGTGGTTGAATATTATTTATTTACCATATCATTAAGTTTTTGGATATGCCATTATTACCTTAGCAACCATGCACAATATTTCAAGTTCAATTCTTTTGAGATTTGTCTATTGGTGTTTTCAGTTTGAGCTGATGAATAATGAAAATCTAAAATGATTTATCTTTTTGTGATCCTTTGTCAACTAAGATCACAGTACAAGGTTGACAGACTTTACACATAGCCTACCTGCGAGTAATGATTGAATTGCACCACTATATATACAAGAGCATTTTAGAAGGTCGTTAAATTGTATAGCATAGAAGCTCTATCTCACGCGCAGGGGTGCAAATCAAATTCCAAAATTAGCTGGAAAAGTTGCAAGCTAAGTTATGCCAACTTTTCGAAAATATTTTTAAACATTTTAGCTACTGTCCAAGTAGTAACTTGAGTTTACCATTTGAATGGAGGCCTTGACTACCATTTGAATGGAGGCCTTGACTACTCGACTAGGGGGGTTTATCATTTGGTCAAAATGGGTTTGACCAAATGTTGACCTCTCGTCTTGTAACCTTCCGGGTACCATTCGAAGTAGTTACCTTTTGAACTACTCACGTTTTGAATCATTCGAACCACTCTTTGGAGTACCGTTCTGGATATTGATTATATATGACGATGTTACATAATTAATTCTAATTTTTAAATTTTAGAATTAATTTCCAGAGTGATGGTTGTCTGTTATGAAGGTTACACAAATTGATTTTATTATCATTTTAATGCTATGATAAATGTTATTTATCCTCCATTCTCCTATATATACCGAGGTTGAGTAGATGATTTTACACATTGAAAAATCAAAAATTTATCACTCGAAACTCCGCTCAATCTTCTCCTCAAGCTTTTGTGTTCTTCCATAGTTCTAGTTCGCTGGGTTTAACTGTTTGAGTGCTCAAACATTAAACCGTAGTATGTTTTATCTTAGAAAACTTAGGCTACAACACTCCTAGCATCTTTGAGAGGTAACAAATAAAGTTTTAAGGAAAGCGTGTTCAGCTCGACTCATAATAACCTTAAACCTTTTTGTTTTTCTTGTGCCTATTATTTTTGTGAAAATAATCCCTTTTCATAGGATTATATTCCTAACAGCCTACAATATCAATCATGAAAAAGAAATCATTATTAATACGTCTATCAAACAATTGCAAGTAGGCCACAAAATCATGCTAGTCATTATCCCTTGCCACACAAATTTCTCCTCTAAAACTAGCTAACCCTCTTGGCAACTTTCTTCTTTTAGAAGACAAGTCAAATATAGAACAAACTTTTAACCCCACTTTCATATATGAGAAGTAGATAGAACCATAAACCCACCATTATCCATCATTATGCCCAACAATATGTTCTTAGTGATGAGGATGGACTCAACATACATTATCTCCAATCCCACTATAACTTCTTGTTAGTTATAATAGACAATATGTTAATGATGATTAGTTAACAAACATTTGCTTAATGAATCTTAGTACTCTCTTTGTTCCAAAACAAATTAATGCGTGCATGACAAGAATAATTAGATTTGGGCCAACCTTGTTCGGGTAATTGGATTGATAATTATAAAGTTTCAAGTTTGGCTCCCAATTGAGTATTGCCTATTGGCCTTCACCCAAAGCGCACAAATTCTGAATTTTGCAGCCGTGACTTTTGGATGAGATCGACTAATTTAAGGGGAACAAATGAAAATAAAAAGCTCTCATTTCTTCATATCCATAGGTGGGCACCCCGTAAATCCTACTTCTATGTAAAATGGCTCGCAAACCATAGAGTAAGAATAATCGCATTAAGAAGATCCTATGAACTATAATTTGTTTTTAATACTTGTAAAAAAGAGTGCCACATTAAAGATTTAATATTAGGTAGTGATTTTGATAGAAAAATATCACTTTTTCTTGTAATCATAAATGTTTAATTTTTCCTACCAAAAAAATAAATGTTTAATTTTACAATACCACAAATCTCATATATATACTATAAAAAAAAAAAAGGAAATAAAATAACGTTAAATGACTGTAGGTGTTAGTTTTTTGACTTGACTAAACTAGTAACTCGCTAAGATATAATATTCCCTTAGATATACTTAATACCTAATTAAAACTAAAAGTATGTACTACTATATATGCCTGGCGCCTGCCGTTCTCATATAGATGAGGTTAAATCATTTCTTTAATTAAACCAATATATATATTTTGTGTTGAATAATATAACTTGATGTAATATACCATAGAATTTTTACAATGTTCCAATAAAAAAAAAATACTCCCTAATAAATATGTCCATAAGTCTAAAAAAAAAGCATAACTTTTGTATCTAAAATTATGAATGATTCTTGCCGACCAAAAAGTGGAGCTCGTTGCATATAATCTTTCTAGTGCAGTTGCAGTTTAATTGACTCTTCTATATGATTTGTGCAGTGGTCTATTACATAAGAACACATGGTCTTTCTAGTGTGGTTATAATTTACCTTTCTGGTATGATTTGCCGTCTTCTAAGAACCACATGTTGCTAATTAAAGAAAATACATTACCTAAAATATCTTGATCGATCCCATCATACAGAATTTTTGAAGTGTGGTTTATCCTTTCTATATGATTTATGAGTTATTACACAGAAGTGATATTTATCCCGTGAATCTTACAAATTTTTTATCATAATCCAAAAAGGATAGTAGAAAAATACAGCTAATTAACAACCCAAACTCCGCGTAGATAGGATAGTTCTCCATTCTAATCCAACATATAAATATGCACAAAGGGCGACTTTCAATGTCCACTTCAACCACAACTGTCTGTGTGTATATATCATCGTCAATATATAATGGCGGAGCTGGCGGTGGTGATGCCGGAGTTGATATCGGAGATGGGCTCCGTTCTCCAGAGGACGGCGGCGGCGAACGATCTGAACAGCCCCGGGCGGTTGCAGAAGATGTCGTCGGTGTTTCACGGCTTAACCAGGCCGGCCATCTCCGTCGAAAGCTACCTGGAGAGGATCTTCAAGTACGCAAACTGCAGCCATTCCTGCTTCGTGGTGGCGTACATTTACCTCCACCGCTTCTCGCGGCGGCAGCCATTGTTGCGCATCAACTCCTTCAACGTTCACCGCCTTCTCATTGCCAGCGTCTTGGTTTCCGTCAAGTTCATGGATGATCTGTAAGTTCATCATTGCTTGCTTCACTTTATATATATATATATATATATATATATATATATATATATATATATGATATAAAAAGTTTATCGGTGTCAAACAATCTGAAACTCTAAAAGCAGATGACGAAATATATCTTTCAATTTTGTAATAAAGTCAGATGGAAAATGTCATAGGCATCAATCTTCAAAAGATATTCGGCCAGATAGTGTATAAATGTGTAGTCTTATAATTAATGGAGAATTTTAGTTGTACATTAAACAAGTTGATCTCTTAAATTGATAAATATAGATTAATTTATTAGCATTAAGTGCAATTGTATATATATATATATATATATATATATATATATATATATATATATATATATTAAATAGTTTTTATTATCGGGTATTATGTCAATAATAATATAATCGGTACATTATGCCAAAGTATCCAATAATATAACTGTGGTTCTTCTAAATAGGATGTCATACAGTCAATAGTACTTAAAGAAAATGTATATTATATATAGATGGATACATATTTTATTTTGCATTATATCAGTATCTTTTTTGAATGAGAAAAAAAATTAATCGTTATTATTTAAGGATATACACACTTGATCCAATGTATAATTGGACAATAGGATTGGTGTAAAATTGTCCATGTTTGGAGTTAACGTGTGGATCATATCCATGATAGAAACTTCCTCGACACTAATAACAACTGATCGAACAAAAAGACAACGTTGTCTGAGTCGTGGTCATGTCTTGTTGTCTACTTCACTGCACGTCCTTGGCGACGGCAGCGGGTGAATTTTATATACTCCGATTTTGTCCGAATGAAATTTGATCAAAAACTTAACTAAATTAATCTTATATTACAATGGGTATATAATAATATAAGTCTTATATGTACCAACTAGCATGTACTGTGAATAGTGATGACATCTCATCCCAATAGTAACGATTTTCTAGTAGTGAAAATTTAAATTTTTTAGACTGAAAATGTTTGAGAAAATATAAAACAGATAATTGGTAGCGAAATATAATGCCATTTTGTGTGTTCCATGTCGTAGGTTTTACAACAATGCGTACTATGCAAAGGTAGGAGGAATCGGCACGAAGGAGATGAATATACTAGAAGTGGATTTCTTGTTTGGCATAGGTTTCAACTTGAACGTAACACCTTCCACCTTCCATACCTATTGTTCTCATTTCATTGCACAAATTCAGGCACAACGACCCCATTATCCCGGCTTCCTACAACAACTTGGCGAGGTAGTTAGTAATCACCATCATCAATGTTGCATCGAAGAAGACGATGAATGCATCGATCACCATCACCAGCAACACCACTATCCTATGTTGGCAGCTGCCATTTATTCGGCAAATTAAACGCGAAATCTCGTGCTCTTGCGTTATATAGAAGTGTAGATTTCTTGTTTTTACTTCGTAATGTTTTTGCATTTACTGATTTTCTTTTGTTGAATTTGAAGAACGGCTAGTAACATACTAGTTTAGCAAACACGTTTTTCTTTAACTACTAGTTTTGCAAAGAAAAATTTTTACTTTTAGTTCCACGACAATTTTGACAATGTCATGTGTATTTAGCAATTAGTCCCATGACTTTGAGGACATCATCAAATTTGCAGGGTCTTCTTTGATCAGTTACAAATTTTTGATTCAATTGGTTATTATGAATATAACATTTTTTTCAACAAAAAAAAAAAAAAAAAAAAAAAAAGAAGAAGAAGAAGAGAAAACTAAGATAGTAAAATACTAAATTATGGTTTAATTGGTGAAAAAAATGTAAAAATTTCTCAACCTAGCCACCTCTAGTGGACCATGTCACCACTCACCCGGATCCACACATATATTACATGACACGTAAATTTTAGTACTCAGAATTTGCAGAATAAATAGTTGGGATTCAAAGCTTGTCATCGCAAAATTTGAACTCTCGTTCTTTCATAACTTTTGGTAAAATTTATGTCTGCTTTCATGATCACTCGAGCAACCGAAAAGTCTATATATTACTTGGAAGTTGGAAATTTATCTGATCTCTTACTTGGAAGTTGGAAATATATATTAGTGAGTGATTTTGAGGTAAGACTATATATGGGCTAATGTTACAATATACTCCGTATATGATATTGCATTATAAGTTTATTACACAACTACCTTAACCATACTACAATTACGTAAAATTAAGCACCAACTGCAACACACGTACAAGGAAATAAAAAAGGAAAAAAGAAAAAGAAAAACTAAAGCTAGTTAACGTTAACAAGAACCACACAATACATAGTTAAGCTGTCATAACTAATTAAACTGCTGCAACCATCATTAAGTTCACGGTGAACGTCCACCGTTGCCGCCGGAGGACCCACCCGCGCCACCTCCGGAACCGCCTCCATTACCGCCGCCGCCGCTCCCGGCTCCATACCCACCTCCATGAGCGCCACCGCTTCCCGAACCATACCCGTAGCCTGACCCAGACCCGCTACCCGAACCCGATCCGAACCCCCATCCCCTCCCAAACCCATTAGGAGATCTTCCAGAGCCCGACCCGTATCCGTACCCCGAGCCCGGGCTCGAGCCCCACCCCCAACTATAGTCCCAGTTCGGGCCGTGGGCCGAGCCGCTACCACTCGTCGGCGCATTCCCCGTAGGCTCCCCCGAGGAAGACGACAACGTTTCCCGTGCATTCATCTTCCGTCCGCCGCTGAACCCGCCGGCGTTGAGGGCCAAAGAAGGGTCGCCGGAGATGAAGACAAGGAAAAGTAGGAGCAGAGAGAAATGCAGAAGAGAACTGGGTTTCATTTTAAGGATTTTGAAGGTCATAAAAAAAGGTGAAGAATGGTGGATTGTGCATGGGGTTTTAGTGGTATTTATTCATGAGGTCCGTGACACTAACGGAGCCGTGGGCCCTGTGGGCCGCCGGAAGGGGGGCACTTGTCGGAAAGACAGACGGTGTGCATCCGCCACACATGATTTGCACCACCGCCCTTTCCTAACTTTACTACTAACGTATTAAAATATCGCACCACACATTCCACCACGCTTCCCTACTTGAGGCAATAATTTTAAATATTTAATTATAGGGACAATTCAATCAAGTTGGTTGCGTTACAAGAGAGCAATATATTGATTTTCATAATTTTAATTGGTCAGTTGTTATTAATAATTTAGGTTGATTTATCTTTTAATTTAATGGTCATTTACCAGAATCACAAAGTGAAATTTACTTAATGCACATTCTCAGATAAGATGATTGGTTTCTCTTATCAATCAAAAAATAATTTTAATTATAAATTTTTCTATGGTGTTGAATCGATTGTCCTAGATATAACTAAATATGGTATATTGTATAAAAATATGTGTAAATATTGGGTACTAATGTACTATTGGTGTTGGTGCACGCCAATGGGTAATAAAGCTATCGGAGATATAGTGTGTAATACGTATTAACAGGTAAACAAGTGATTATATTGCGTCCATCTTACATATATAGACTTTAGCTTTTATACAATACAATAGTAACGATTTCTTAATAAGTGTGACGCTCTCCTTCATAAGTGCTCTGGTCTTCATAACTGCTAAGTGCATTGGTTCTACGCTTAATGCTCAACTCTTAGCCATTATTGTTTGACAGCCTTAACTGCCTTGAAGGGTCCAGATCGGGTCTAGCGGCATGTTCTATTATCTTGTCACATGCTAATAGTACTCAATACAATTAAGTATGAATATATATATATATATATATATATATATATATATATATATATATATATATATATATATATATATATATTTATATATATATTGTTTAAGTATAATTGACACCATAAAAAATCTCTAAGTTATAGTGATGACACCACTTCAAACTTGCCGAGTAAAATATTTTCTCTTAAAATTTAAGGTAATTGTATTCATGATCACAACCGTACCGTGCCCCGAGTCAAGTAGACGTTTCCATAATTTCATAAAGAAAATCATCCCACGTAAGGTTTCTGGCGCATGATCTGTACGTAGTATATAACACCTACCTACCAAGCTTACAACTAATTAAATTAAATTAGAAAAGCAAAACGTCAGTGGTATATATATACAAAGTTTTGCACAAGCACAAACTGATGATCACTACTCGTGTAGTTAATTTATGATGAGTAAGTCTATATGGACAATTTAGTTGGTCACAAGAGTGAAATTTGGGAATATTGATTCTGAATCGAGTTTCATCAGCAACAATGTAGGAACAACCTCTCAAAGCGAGGGGCTCCTCGTGCGTAATAAGCAAATGTCGAGCTTTTGTATTTAATTGAATTACGTTAATCCTCCCATATGTTCTGTTAGGCCGGACGTGAGAGGCCCAAGAGTCCTACACCCCGGCCCGACAGAGCATTTGTGAAGATGTAAATTAAGGTGACTCAATGGTTGAACAGCCGTGGCTAAATGCTGGTACGCACAATGAATCTGCCCACTTTGAATATAAAATAAGTAGTAGAGCAGGCAGGCCCGGAGCAAATTGAGCGCAATCAATGCAAGTATACCAGCCACCCCGAAGCCCGGCCTGCTAACAACCAGTCTCCATCATATCCTGAATGATACCCTACATATAGTGAAGGTTGCTTTCTATGGTGGAATTATGGCATGCACCCACAATTGGATATTTAACAAACTATATAATTGATGAAAGCCACGACGACCACTCTCCCCAACCCCTTTTCTATCTTCACAGTGCATATTGCTCTCAGATGCAAGGTGGTGTGGTGGCCTGGTGCACAGTGTATACCTGCCTCTATGTATATCCTCATACAGTGGAGAGAGATATATATAGACAGAGAGAGAGGGTTTTGACCACAGCATCATCAATCATGGCTGCCTACAAATATCTATATCTCACATACAGTGCATGCCTTTTAGAAAGCAGGTATAGATGTAGTGGATCTTATCATACATGTGCACATTTACTTAATTACTTTCCTCAATCCTCTCACCTCATATATATAATATACATATATATATCCACTTCCATCTTCATGCAATATATATGATGATGATGATGATCCCAAGATCTGATCTTGTGCCCACACTAATATGCATGTTCTATATATCATCCAAGATATTTTTGGGTGGGGCAGGTATCATCTAATTAAATCAGTTAACTACCTTAGCTTTGTCTGTCTATCACATACTTCTACAACTATGAAAACATTATTGGAACATTTCTAATGTTGTTTTAATAATGGATTTGATTTGATTAATTGTTGTGCATGTCAAGTTGAACCGATCAAGTTGAGTTTGGTCAAGTTGATCTTTTTGGATTTACAGGAAAGCCCGCCTGGCGTCTGCATCCGTTATTCAAATGTGCGCTCTATATGAAATCTGACTTGTAACTCTAGCTGGCAAGTTAAGCTTATATATTTTCTTAGAATTATAAAAAAGCCCTCAGCAGTTACATGGAGGTTCACTCTGTGTGAAACTCGCCTTATAACCTTAACTGTCAAAAGACCACAAGTGGAGTAAACCAGTTTTGATTGTCCATAATTGATCAGTTCAAACTAAGAAATCCAATATAAACAACTCGGGAGAGGAGTTGAAGTTACATTTAACTTGGTTAGTAAGTCAATTAGACAAAAGCAAAAGCACAAGAATGTGCACATGATGCTTTCTTACCTTTTTTTATTGTGCTATGATCAGACCCATTTCACAGCTCTAACATGGCAACTTGGGTATATTATTGCAGTTTTTGATGGCCCAAACACAACACTACTGCAGCTAGCTAGCAACCTCCATCTCATCTTTCCCCACCACCAACAATGTCTCTTCTCCTATTCTAGTAGAGTCATAATACTATTCTGCACCAGAATCATTTCAACACATGCATGCATACCTGTTGTGCATGTATGTCCCAGGTGCTGAAGCGTAGTGAAGCGAAGTGGGTAGAACGGAACAGAGCAATAGATGTAAGCACATTGTCGAACCACGTAAAACTTATATTCTTCTTTTGTTTTTGTATTTGTTCTTGATTTCTTGATCCGGCCCGTTTCTCATCAACAAATCCTTTTGAAGAACTCCAGTAATGCAAGCGGAAATACGTACACTTGAAAGAGCAAAAGTTTCTCCCAGCAAATCTAAATTTGTAGGAAAATCATACATAAAGTTGGTAATTTTGTTGAACCCCGGTCAAGTTATTATTATATATCATAATAGTTCAATCAAGTTTAAATATTTCTCCATTGTGGCGCTTCTCTTTGATACTACATTGTAACAGAGTCAAATTTAGTACAACAAATAATATTTATTCCTATTTATAGCAATTCAGTATTTATACTAAAATTTATTGACACAACCATTACAATTTATTTTTAATTACAAAAACTATTTCACCACTCTCATGTTTCCTATTTTAAATTAACACTCAAATACTACTCTTTTTAGGTCAAACAACGAGGTGTCATTGTGAGCACATAGTCATTAATGTGCAATCCAATTATTAGTTTATGCTTTTAGTTGAGATGGAGCATATGCTTCAATTTGGTATCAAAGCCAGACCAAAGGTCATGGGTTTGAGCGACTACGGTTTACCGGTCCACGGCACACGTGAGGGGGCGTGTCGTTATTGTTAACGGAGCGTACATTTTTTAGAAACTACAGTGTATCTAAACCGACACATATTATTTTATATATTATCAAATGAAATTGCAGTTATATCAAAATGATGTTGTAGTTGTGGTGAAATGAAATTGCAGTGTATATAAAATGAAACTGAATAACATTTCACATATTTGAGTGCATATTGTGCAATGAAGTTGTAGTTATATCGAAATGATCATGTAATTGTGTTTTAATGAAACTAAAATGTATATAAAATAAAATTAAATAACATTTTCACATATTTGAGTGTATAAATATCGAATGAAACTGTAATTATATCGAAATGAAAATGTAATTGTGTTGAACTGAAACTGCAATGTATACAAAATGAAACTGAATAACAGAATTACTTTTTGCTGAATGACGCAGAACGAATGATTTTTTTTTTCATTAAACAAAACGACGTCGTTTTGAAGCTCAGTACATAATCAATTTGCCAATTTCTACATAGCCCAAATGCCCTTATATATGTTAAGCCCAAACAATAAAATTGACCCAAATATAAAATGACAGACCCAACTCTAGTTTCAATATACTTCCTCACACTCCCAGCCTGCGCCTCTCTCGCCCAGTCCAGTCCGGCAGGGTGCAGACCACTGAGTCCGGCGACTAATCCATTTCATTTATTGTTTAACCAGGAAAATAGTTAAGGCTGTCGCCGAGGCCGCCTCTACCTCAATGCTCTTCACCTTCCGCAGACCCAAAGCCGCCGGATTTCATCTTTCCGCCGTCGTTCGACTCATCAAACCACCAAGCCTCCACCTTTCTACCGCCTCTCCAGCTCCTCTCCAGAACCCATCAAAACCCCTAACTAAACCGGAGCTCAAAGCGCTCGTTCTCTCCCATTGCAGCCATGGCAAGTTCCACGGCCTCCTTCGAAACGTCGTCGCTTCGCCCGCCGTCCTCCTCGCGGCCTGCAACAGCCTCAGACCCAATGCCGCTTCCTCCGCGGAGCCGCTCAATCTGGAAACCGTCTCGGCCGAATTCTTCTCCGTCGAAGAACTCGCCGCCCAGCTCGCCGGACACCGGCTGGACGTCGAGTCCTGCTGCCGCGCCATTCCTCCGATGACCCGGAGAGGTAAACCGCTCGTTCTTCCTAATTTGAAGCTCAAAGTTGTTATGGAAGCCATTAGGATGGTTCTTGAAATCGTATACGATGATCGCTTCGTTACATTTTCATACGGCGGCCGACCCAATCTGGGCCGCCACACTGCAATTCGGTACCTGAAGAACTCTGTAGAGAACCCTAGTTGGTGGTTCACCGTTTCCTTCAACCCTAAAAAATTTGGAACTAATCATGTTGATAAATTGTGCTTATTTATAGAACAGAAAATTAAAGATAAGGACTTGATTGATTTGGTGATGAGGTTGTGTGAATGTGAGGCTATTAGTATTGAATTGGGTGGGTGTTATTTAGGCAGAGGATTTCCTCAAGAATGCAGGTTGAGCCCAATGTTGATCAACATTTACTTCAACTCGTTCGATCACGAAATTCAGGAAATTAGGGTTAAAACGAGCAGGGAGAATCGAATCGGTGTCCTTGTTTCGCCCTCTTCTGGTAGGGCGTTCTATAAGCCCCCGAAGATCTATGCAGTTAGGTATCTGGACGAGATTCTAGTGATCACATCTGGGACGAAGTTGATGAGTATGGAGTTGAAGAGTCGAATTGTGAATTCCTTGGAGAAGGATTTGGCGTTGAGCGTTAACAGGGAGAGAACCGTCATTCATAGTGCTGTTTCCGAAAAGATTGAGTTTTTGGGGATGGAGCTTCAGGCTGTTGCCCCGTCCGTCTTGAATCCACCGATGTCCGAGAAGGCGATTAGGGCGAGGAAGAAGTATCTCAGACAGAAAGAAGTTAGACTCTTGGAAATGAAAAACGCGAGAGAGAGTAATAGGAAGAAATTAGGAATGAAGCTGTTGAATCACTCGTTTAAGAAATTGAAGAAGAGTGATGGGTTCAGATTTGACTTCCGGATCGAGAGCGAAGTGAGAGAGATTCTTAAAACCTGGTCTGAGGATGTCGTGAAACAGTTTCTAGAATCTGTGGATGAGCGTCGGGAATGGCATAGGCAACTTTCTGCTGGTGAGTTTCTATTGTTGGAAAGGATTAGAGACCAATTACCCCGAGAGCTTATCGATGCTTATGACGATTTCCAGGAACAAGTCGACAAGTTCTTGAATCCCGGGAAAGCCATAAAGGCAATAGAGGAGCACGAAAGACGTTTGGAGGAAGAAGAGGAGAGAAAGTATTCGGAAAGGACAGTTGAGGATTTAACAAAGCTGTGCATAAAAGTCGAAGCGCCAATCGAAACTGTTCGGAAAGCTATCAAACTGGCCGGGTTTACGAACCACATGGGTCGTCCTCGGCCAATTAGTTTACTTGTCGCTCTTGAAGATGTCGATATTATCAAGTGGTACGCTGGAATCGGGAGAAGATGGCTCGAATTCTTTTGCTGTGCCCACAACTTCAAAAAAGTTAAAACCGTCGTAACTTACCATCTCCGATTCTCTTGCATCCTGACATTAGCAGAGAAGCACGAATCCACTAAGCGAGAAGCTATCCGACATTTCACGAAAGATCTGAAAGTCTTCAACATCGATGGAACTGAAGAACTCCACTTCCCTACAGAAAGGGACGTGAAAACGATGGGAGATAACATTTTGTCCGATCCAAAGCCTATCGATGGAGCTCTAACAATGGTTTGCGTTAGGCTCGCATCTGACGAGCCTTCATATCGATGTGCTGCTCATTTTTGCACCCGGAACGATACTATTGTCTACCGGATACGCTTATTGCAGAAAATTCTTAACCTCGACTCATCAAACGAGAAGTGGGTTCGAGGTTTGGGTTCCATTCACGATAGTTTGAACAGGAAGTGTCTCCCGTTATGCCCCGTCCATATAAGCGAACTGTACATGGGTAGATTAAATCTTCAAGACGTTGATTGCAATGCGATTTTGAATTTCGACTAATTCAGTTCAGTTAATACTTCATAGTGTTTTATCTTGAACTATAGTTATAACCCCTTTTATGTATATTTTGGTAGCTGTAAAAGAGAATTTGTAAGACTTATGTTTATTGGTTACTGATGTAAATGGAGAGGATAAAGATTGATTTATGTTTCAGTAGAATGATGTCTTCAAATTGCATATGTTTGACAGTCATATGATGTTTTGCTGTGCAGTTTAATCATTAACTAATCTGAATGAATTAACTAATCTGAATGTATAACCCTAAAGGCGAGCTTAATCATTTGTCAACATTATACAACATTGATATGACCTTAACAGATCTTTTAATGATTTTTTTTCCTGATTATCCTTTATTGATGCATGTATCAAGTTATTATATCCACTCTACATCAACATCATGGTTGAATGGATAACACTAACCTTTTTTTTTTTTTTTTTTTTTTAAATGAGAAAGATTTATTTTATAAAACACATATAATTTGGGTGATGAAGTTAACTTGTAGTCATTATTGGAGAATATAAATTGGATAAACTTTTTCATGTGTGATAGCTCACAAATTACACAAGAAAGGTATACCGAACTAAGAAGACCATGCCTGATGAGTTCGATCGAGAGTGTGTTGATAAGAATCCAATTTGTCACTTTTAGATAGAGCAAATTACCAAAATGGTCTCTCGACTATGTCGATTTCACCAATTTAGTCCTAATCATTTTGATTTCTCTAATCAAATCCTCCGACTATCAAAATTTTAACCATTTTAGTCCTCCGGTGACTTGGATGGCCAACTTCCGGCGATGGTAAGGGTAGTTTAGTAACTTCGCAATTATTCCGGTTGAATCGTAATATTTGGCGCTTTAATTCACCATTGCATGAAAAGCTGACCGTGTTCGGCTGAGACCACGTTACCGGAATGCTAGTGCCCGGAGTATCAGCCACAACTCTAACACCAAAAGCCTCCTCCGGCGACTGGGCTAGCAACCTCCACATCCAAACCAGCCTGAGAATTGCCTGCACACTCACCAGAAATCCCAATCGGGCTAGCAACCTCCGATAAGAATCCAATTTGTGACTTTTAGATATGAAAATCATGATCTACCCACTCGGTCACTCTTTTAAGGGCAAAAAAAAAAAAAAAAAACACATTTAATAATTTGTATGAATCAAACTTGCCCGCCTCAACGGAACAACAAGCGTTTACCACTACACCACAAGTTGTAATTAATAACGAATGCACAATTTTATTTTCTTATACTTGTGTAGTGATTAACGTCACATTTCGATAACATGCTAGACTCAAGTACTCAACCTTCCAAGCGGCAACCCTACCTACATATAATTGATATGGAAAGGAATTAATTTTACAATTCAATACAAATATATAATTCTTAAAATTTTACAAAATTACAATTTATTAATTGAAAGCTTTGGAAGATTTAGGGGGTGGGCGCCGCCACCCACTCCCTTGGTCTCATCAGAGTTCAAATGTCAAAACATGACTTGAGGCCAAAAAAATAAGTATTAATATTTTTGAATTTGTTTATAGTTTTGATAATATTGCCTACCATTATAGGAAACGGGTCAAATAGATTATTGAATTTGACACGAAAAATCAATTAAGCCCTTGAACTTTCAAAGAGTGCAATTAAATACATATCGATTTCTTTCTCGGTTTCCACGGCGGCTAGCGTGTTCGCCGATCGTTTTTGTCATCAGAAATATTGTCGGAGCCCTAGTGACCTGTGATAGTAGATTACTAATCGGTTTTTGGACTTCATTGCACTAAAATACAATATTGATGGGTTTAATTGCTACTTTAATTTAAAAATTTTAGGGACCTTTTTTTTTTTTTTTTTAATGTTACTGGCCCTATTACATTGTGATATTTGTTCATATACTTTCTCAACCTACTGAAACACAAAGAACCAATAACACCTCCACCCGGGTACCATTAGACCACATAGTCTTGGTAAAAATTTTAGGGACCTAATTGACTTCTTAGGTAATGTTTGAAGGCTTATTTCATTGACCATTTTCCCTATTATTTATAATTTTCTTACAAAAATTATACTATTAATAATACATAAAAAAAATTATTTATACACGATATACTATTACCATATCAAGCAAAACAGCTATTATTTGCAAAAGCATTTTGGAGATGCAAACAACAACGTACTGTTGTTCCCAGTCTCAAATTACTGTTGCTAACAACTATCCGTTGTTTTTTTTTTTTTTTTAAAGGGAAAAATTCTATTACTCATATAAAATAAAAAGAATAAAAAACAAAATATAAAAGTTTTTATACGGGTAATATAGTAAAATTTTCCGTGTAAGATGAAAAGTTTGCTTTGTTCAGGTATCTAGGGAGAAAAAGTTTGGAAAAAGAAGTTTAAAAATTAAAGATAAAAAGTTTGTAGAAAGAATACAAATCAAAATATACAAATATTTATATAAATATTATAAAACATATGTTAAAAATTGACGATGATAAATGAAATTTAGCTTTAATTTGTTTAGGTATTAAGAGAGAAAAAGTTCGTAGAGAAAGTAAAAATTATGAATAAAAAGCTCGTAGAAAGAACAAAAATTAAAATATACAAGTGTTTATATGAACGTTATGAAACATATAGTAAAATTTGACGTAAGTTTGCTTTGTTAAGGTATTTAGAGGGAAAAAAAATTTATGGAGAAAGTTTAGAAGTTAAGGAGAAAAAGTTTAAAAATTTAGAGTTTAATTAATGGATGTATTTAAACTATTTACACAAAAATAAAAAGTTATAAGATTTGTGCTTCATTAGATTGAGAAAATAGTTATGAACAAATACTACATTGTAATAGAGTCAGTAGTACTAAAAAAAAAGTTATAAGATTTAGGAGAGAGAAAAAGTTTGTAAAATTTAGACATGAATAAAAATCTTAAAAATTTATCTGCATCAACTTGGTGAGGTTGCACGACAGCATCAGTTGTTACTAAAAAAAAATCATAAATTTTATGTACTATGCATACCTTTTTTGGGCAACGAAATAAATCTCGAGCAACTACAAGAAAGCGTGCATTAGATAAACTCTATTCATATCTACTTGTTTGTAAATTGTATAAGAGAAGTAAATCATGTTAAAAACATTTGTGCGACAGATTCGACGAAGAGGGTATGACAACAAAAAAAGTCATTTTTTGTACTTCTAATGGTTGTTAGAAATAATTACACTTTAACCTCCTTTTAATTTTAATTTGATCAAAGATCCTCAAAATCAAGTGGAGACATGCACGTGTAACCATGTTATTGGTAGCTTGTGGGTGGAGTATACTATTTATCCGTCTATATGTTGCCTTCATATGCCCATTTTTCCATTCAAAACCATTCGACCATCCTTAAAAAATAAAAATCAAAACATTAAGACAAAAATAGTGTACGGAGGCGGAATTAGTTGAGTTAATAAATGATAATAATTGTTTATTAAATTTAAATTTATTTTTAATATTTGCTAGTTGCTACAAGTTGTTTTTGCCTAAAATGGAACAGTTTCAATTTGAAATGGATAACTAAGTGGGTAGAGTATGCCAAACACCTTGTGTTCCGATGACACATTTGTGACTATTCTTGAAGAAAGGTCACAGGATCGACCCTTTGGGTTGCAACATATGTCCTGTTTGGTAAAATTAGCTGTTAGCTGTTAGCTGATAGCTGGTTGTGTTAATTAGAGAGTATAAATAGTTGATAACATTAGCTGATTGTAGAAAAATGTTTGGTAAATTAGCTGATAGCTGTTTGGAATAATTTCTTTTCTCAAAAAGCTAATTGAAAAAATTGCTTAGAGTAGCTTTTTGAATTTTAGCCTTTTGAAGTTGCAAAAAGCTAATTAACCAAACATTTATATAGATATTTTAACTAAATCAAACAATTAATAGTGGTCAAATAAGCCAAAATTGACCTATAGGCCAATTTTTTACCAAACAGGGCCATTGAGAAAGTATAGAATAAATACTATTTTGTAATAGAATCAATATATAGTACTAAAAAAAGTGAATAGAGTATAATTCTCGTACTTAAATATTATGAGTTTGATTATTGATAACCTCTTTAAGTCAAGTCTGTCACATGTAATCTTTTTTGTATGATTTACCTCTTTTGTATAATTTGTTAACTATTATACATGAACAAGGTCTACTTAATAGTGTTATGTTAGCCATCATTTAATTTGTACAGTATTTTGATATTAATTATCAAAATCAAACGTTTATCACTATAAATCCTGGGTTCTCGATCTAGCTAGTCACAAGAAACATCGTACCTCGTACCATACCCATCATTTAACTACTATAAGCTGTAAATTCTCCAAATGACAGCTTTACTTGACTTTTAAATTGAATGTATGGGGTGGCTTTAATTTACAGCAATTATCTTCATATAAAATAAGATATTTAATTCTATTATGCTTTTATCCTGGGCATATAACCAATATGTCTGAAAATTACCTGCGTAGTATATATATATGTAAAAAAAAAATATTATTAAAAAAAAAAAAACATATATTTTGAAAAACTTTCCAGTGCACTACTAGAAATTATGGAATTTCTGACCACCTGAAAGTGATCTTAAATCAAGTTGATACCAAAAAGTGGTCGGAAATAGCAACAAAGGTTTTTCGAATACTAAAAATGATCGGAACAAGACTTTTGACTTGATTTAATATCACTTTCAGGTGGTTGGAAATTTCATAATTTCCAGTAGTGGTGTACCAGCCCATGTGTTTTGTCTAAACTAATAGTTGGATTGCACATTTATTATTTATATATTATATACTTAACCAGAGGCAAAAGAATAATGTCGATAGATGTTAGAAAAACGAGATGAAAAAATCAAGAACAAAGACACAAAGGAAAGAACAAAGTATAAAACTTACGTGATTCAACAGTGTGCCTACATTTGTCGGAGTGAAGTAAAATTCTTTTATTAATTGTGATAATAATACGTTCAGGGTTACAAAAGAAGAAGAAGAGTAAATGTAACATAAGACGAAAGACGTAAAATGTATAGTGAAGAGCTATGTCTAGGTTGTGTATGACCAGAGACTATTGATGGAACGAAAGGAAAAGAGTAAGAAAAGACATATTGGTCAGTCAGTCATACATAATTCATTTTGTCATACCTT